GTCTGTACTGTCACAGGTGAGTCTGTACCATCACAGGTGAGTCTGTCTTTACTGTCACAGGTGAGTCTGTCTGTACTGTCAAAGCTGTGTCTGTACCGTCACAGGTGAGTCTGTACCATCACAGGTGAGTCTGCACCGTCAGTGCCCATCTCTGTCCCTGTGTGCAGTGTCTCTCTAAGCCTTGATAGTGTCTGTGGTTGAGCTCCATCTCAGATTGTGTAACCAGAAGCTCAACGGAAACTGGTGTGTGAGCTCACTGCCTCCATTAGCAGCTCAATGAAGTGACCAGAGTGCGGCTCAATGCTTCAGGAAGCACGTAAACACATCTGAAGGCCGCAGCACAGCAGTAAGCCCAGCAAGAGGCCCTGGTCCTCTCAAAGGGCAAAGGTTAAAGTCCTTCTGCTTCTCTGTGTGACAGGGAATATTGGCTATAAACCTGAGAGAGAGAGCTGCAGAAAACAACATTTTCTCTATTAGCTGATGTATTATATCTATGTGCTGTGCTGTGTGTACAGTGTACAATGTACAGTGTGCTGAGTGTACAGTGTGCTGTGTGCTGTGTGAGCGGTGTGTTCTGTGTACAGTGTGCTGTGTGATCAGTGTGCTGTGGGTACAGTGTGCTGTGTGATCAGAGTGCTCTGTGTACAGTGTGCTGTTTGATCAGTGTGCTCTGTGTACAGTGTGCTGTGGGAGCAGTGTGCTGTGATGTGTGTACAGTGTGCTGTGTGATCAGTGAACTGTGTGTACAGTGTGCTGTGCTGTGTGAGCAGTGTGCTGTGTGAGCAGTGTGCTCTGTGTACAGTGTGCTGTGTGAGCAGTGTGCTGTGTGAGCAGTGGGCTGTGCTGTGTGACCAGTGTGCCGTGTGATCAGTTGCTGTGTGAGCAGTGTGCTGTGCTGTTTGATCAGTGTGCTCTGTGTACAGTGTGCTGTGTGAGCAGTGTGCTGTGTGTACAGTGTGCTGTGTGATCAGTGTGCTGTGTGTACAGTGTGCTGTGCTGTGTATACAGTGTGCTGTGTGAGCAGTGTGCTGTGTTGTTTGATCAGTGTGCTGTGTGTACAGTGTGCTGTGTGTACAGTGTGCTGTGTTGTTTGATCAGTGTGCTGTGTGTACGGTGTGCTCTGTGTACAGTGTGCTGTGCTGTTTGATCAGTGTGCTGTGTGTACAGTGTGCTCTGTGTACAGTGTGCTGTGCTGTGTGTACAGTGTGCT